AAAATGGAGTTGGGAAAGAACTATATACATAAAAAAATAATAATAAAGTTATATACTCATAATATATAAAAAGATAAGATAAAAAAAATTTTATGAAATAAAAATTATATAGTAATCAGAATATGGCATACTTTCATTTTAGCTTAGAAAATAGGGGTGTAGCTTAATAAAATTTAGAGTAAATGCACAAAAACAGGTCAAAAATCATTTTAGCATACAAATTTGTATGCTAAACAGTTTAAAAAATAGTGTTTCAAATACTAGTAAAGCATTATTGTGCTTTACTAGCATTAGAACACTAATGTACCTTATTGTTATTTGTCATATGATTTAACTGGTTGAATTTTGCACCTTCAGTACACAAAATTGACTAATCAAATAATATACAGCAAATAACTATTAATTATCTTTACTATAACTATTTTATACACTATAAATATGTATACTATATTATTATAAATTTTATTTATGATATAAATTAACATATATAAATGTTTATATAAAATATTCATTAATTTATTACTTTAATTATTTCGTCTTTTCATTAAATACTTGAGCTACTAAACTTGATAAATTATAATTATGATTTTCTGAACTCAACTGTTGAACTATGTTATCTTGCATAAAGGCAGGATTTGAAAGATCAATAATTTCTTCAATTAATAAATTACCACCCTTCTCGTTGTATTGTGTTAGATTCGGAAATCAGATTAAATGAATCAGAAAATTCGTCGTTGAATTGTTTAGTAAATTCTAACTGGTTGGCATTAACGGTTATGCTATCTCTCAAGCCACATTATAAAATTCTTGATCGTAAAATGACTATTGTTATTGATAGAGTTATTAGTTAGTCGTTATTATAACAATAAATAAAATTTTCTAATTCTCCCTCTAAATATGTATATATTTTCTTAGTACTATTCCATATTAATAGCAGTAACCTGACTTTGTTCTATTTCTTCGTAAATATTTAATCGTTTATTCTATTATGGAAATTGAAGTTGTCTTAGTGGTTTAGATGCATGAAAATCAAATGAATCATGTAAACACTATAATGAATAAAATTTTTCTTATTTTATCTTTTTATATATTATGAGTATATAACTTTATTATTATTTTTTTATGTATATAGTTCTTTCCCAACTCCATTTT